TTGCAGATGCACATACACGTTGTACAAAAACATCCTCATGCATACATCCATCGAACACCACAAATTCGTTTTGTGAAATCCATCAAAATCGAAATCAACATTAATAAATAATAAATTTGAACCAGGCATTTCCAACCCCCGGCAATGGCAGCATGACCAATAGAAGCAGCTAGGATCAGCTAAAGGCACGCATACCCTCACTAACGTTTCTTCGAATGTATATACAAATTCACATAGCGTTACATCCCCACATGTGGCCTTCTAGTTTTTAGCGCCTACAATTCGTTGGCTGTAATGCAGGTGGCGGGGGTTGGGGGTAAATTGTGAATTGTGGCTGTGTAATCCTTGCGAAGACAGTTTAAGCGTAAAATGGATTTGTGACTGACTCACTCACATACATTCACACAGATGTTCGATTCATGCCCTTATTGCTCCTCCGCTGCTGGTGTGCGAATTCGTTCCGATTCTGTAACATTTACATATAGGAAAATTTTTAAAGAAATACAGAATCAGAGGGGCGGGGAGGTTGCCGGTCGGTGGTGAGGAAGAAATTTGCAATTGAATTTAAACGGTATACGATTTTGCAATTGGACTACTCGAATGCATTCGAGTTAAGCCAGTGTAAATGTCTGCCTGCCTGCGTGAGAGTGAGAGTGTGTGTGTGTGGGAATGTGTGATTTCGGTACAACATTTGCTAACACCACTCATGTACAATTGCTGATTTGGCAAAATGCATATGTGTGTGTGTGTTTGGGGGTTAACAGTGAGTTTTGAAGGTTGTGCGAAAAACATCTTGTTTCGCTGGTTGGTTGACTGGCTGGCTAGATGGCTGGTTGGTTGGTTGGTATGTCGGTTGTCTATTGGTCTTTTGTGTTGTTGGCATTTGTCGTGTACCCACTACTGCATCAATGCTTGGATGCGCTCCCCGTTTGGGGCCGGAGAGTAGGAGACCCTTGCTGATTTCATATTGCTTCACACTATGTCATGCACTAGTTATTCTTTAGCAGAATCTGTTCTTGTGGCGAAACGAAAAAAAAAAAACAACAACGAATGAATGACAACAACATCAGTTCATTGGAAATTCAGACTGTTGTTGACGCCTTTGTCGTGTTTGTTTTACTGCAGCTTGCCTGTAATCGTCACCCTCTGCCGGTGTTGGCAAAAGTGCGTTTTTGCATTCAAATGCCGCTGACCGCGTCATCACCCATTTTAGCCTATTAGTTGTTAAATGCGGTTTAACACAGCGTCAAACCACAAATCTCGAACGAATTTGCATCAAATCACACCTCAATTCGACAAAAAATTGCAAACAAAAAATAGTTCTGGGTAGATGCAAGAAAGGGATGTTCGATAAGGGTGCATATGAGAACATGGGAGTACAATATACGTTTCTGTGGAGAAATTTTTTAATGAGGGAAAGAATGTTGGTAAGAAGATATGATAGGTTTTGGGACTGCCAATGCATACACAGTATGTCCAGATCTTCTACGCCAATCGAAAATGCAAGCGATTCGAAGGCAATCACTTGTAGTGGATTTAAATAGGGGTTGTTAATTCATAACATTCATAATGGCAGTATAATGTATATCGAATGTATATACAAATTTGAAGCGATCTCAATAAAATTTTGCTGAGGTATTTTCGAGCTGCATCTGATGTCCGGCATCAAACATCATTGTTGTGGAGGGCATATTACGTATATAAGGGATTTTAATACCAAATCGGATAAAACATTTATATGCGAGCTATAGCTATATCTGGACTGATTTTCACAAAATTCGATGTGCCAAAAATTTAGGTCATTTGGACTGATATTGGTCATTTGGTGTACAATTAACACGAAATGGGTTGAATATATAGCTACAGCTATATCTACATTTGAACCGATTCTAACCAAATGCGAAGAAAATGTGCAAAATATATAAATTTTTTTACCGATTGTGGTTTTGATAATTTCTCTGATTGCAGTGTTGTAACTACTCGAAACTCAAAAACAAGTTGCTGAATTTGAGATTCGAAAATTTTTATTACGAAATATGGCATAAACGCGAGGCGAAAGAAACATTTTAATTTTCTTTAAGACACGGGTGATAAGTCCAAAATATAGACAATATTTATATTGAGTTCTTTAAAATATATTTTGTTGTTGTTTTCTCTCTTTCTTTTTTTAAGCATCGCTTTATAATTTTAAAATAATTTTTATGACGTGCCATCGATCTTTGGTGAAAAAAATGTTTGCTGGGTAATTGTATTACATATGGCACCATTTATGTATATGAATTTTGCGGTGGAGATTTTTGACTGCTGCTTACGTTGTTGTTGTTGCTGTGTCTGTTGGTATCATTCATTCCATCATTCTGCCATTCATTGCGGTTTCTTAAGTTTCCTCAAGAATGTCTTTTCAGGTTTTCCCATTCATCTTACAGCCTCTTCAGGCCTCTGCTGCCATTAAATCAAATATTTTGTGCGGTTACTAATTTGATTTGATGTATGGATGGTTGGCTGGCTGTGGCTGTGGCATTCTTTAGGGGTATTCAGGCAAATAAACAAACATTTAGCAGGGCAAAAATGTTGTTAACCTTTGGTATGGAATTTGTTTTTCTACAACTTAGTTTGTGGTTGGGTTGTGTTGTTGTTTTTTCTCTCAAGCCTCAATTGAAAGCAACAGGATAATAAATTGTCCTCATTTTCTCACCAAACGAACTTCATAACTTGGTCTTTTGGCGTGGGCTGGCTTTCAACTAAAAAAGGTACAACAGAAGGTGGGCAATATTTATGTTTGTAAGAATTTTATGTTATGTTCAGACTGGACAATATGATTATGTACAAAATGTACCCTTTAAATTTGGTGGGGATATTGATTTAAAATGTTGTACACTTTGGAAATTTGGAAATAAGTTTTCAATGCGACTATGGAAAAAAAATTTGTGCAAAAATATTTTAAAATATGCACTTTTGGTTATAGGAAATAGGTACAAAATTACTGACTTGTGTAAGAATCTGAACATAAGAGACAATTTTATATTTTGAGATCAATAAGCACATGTACCATGTTTATTGTGATAACATAAAAAGTAGTCCTGAAAATTAAATATAACCGTCTATGGCTAGTATGTTCCGAAGGAATGGGTCATTATTGTCCATTTCATATCGGACCTAAATAAAGTGATCTAAATATAGCGACGTGCCAGGTTTGGTTGAGAGAAATATTTAAATATAGCAAGTTGTACAGAATCGCTGACTTGTTTCATAAGTTATAACAGATAAAATATTGAAAATTGTGACCCTGTGTGTGAGGTACCAGAAAGGGTTCGCAGATATATATCATCTTCACAATAGATTTTGTGTTAGCAAAAAAGTTAGTATGAGTGAAATTTGAAGAGAGTTGGATGCTTATTTTGCTTTCTTTGAGCGTTTTGTTTTTCAAAATATTGAACCCTATGTGGGGGAAGTACCAGAAGAATATCTACCATCTTTACAACAGATCTTGTGTTGATGGAAATATTGAGATGTACAAAGTCTAAATGGAATTGGATGTTAATATCGCTTTTTATGAGCGCCACTGATATTCAAAATGTTGACCTTTTGTGGGGGAGGTACCAGAAAGAGTAGACCGCTATACCCCATCTACACCGTAGATCTCGTGTTAGTACAATTCAAGGAATTTGTGAAATCTGAAGAGAACCGGTTATTTTTTGTGGATTTAATAATCGTTTTGGTTATTCAAAACTTTGAACCTTGAACCAAAATGCGTTTAACACGGACCAATAATGCAACCCATACTTCGTGATCATTTTCGAAGAAAAATGGGTCAATTGGGCCAAAATCTGCACCAAAGAGTGACTTGTATTGGATTCACCGACTTCCTAATGTATGTATGCGGTTTTTCGCAGATCCGTTCAGCCGATAAGATATTTTTTACTCAAAAATTTTTTAAAAGTTTAGATAAAGGTAGGACATTACTCTAGGACATTACTCATGTGTAGGACATTACTCTAAAATAGTTGCTCTCTGAATGGAAACCTTGGCTAAGGTTAAGATTTCTCATCTCTCTCAGCTTGTCATCTGCTTTTATTATTAATGATCCACCTTGACATCAAATATCTTCCGACAACATAATTACCATTTCACCTGTGTGCCGACACGAACACACACACACACACCGACTAATTAATTAACAATTCCTTATTAGCAGCAACCAAATGACAACAATTACGACCTTCATTAGTTGCAGCTGCACTGATTACATTAGAACATTTTCTATTTTCCGAAATCGACTAATAATCGACATCATTAATTAAGCTGGCAACACAAGTAATTGATAACGGTTTAAGCCATTCATTCAGTCATTTGTGGCTAGAAAACCGCCCCACTTTAAACCGCCAAACCAACGTTGGGCAACGGCTCCAAAACATAAAAAAATAAAAGGGGACGACAAAAGCAACAAAATTTAAAATGGGGAACAAATTAAACAATGTCCATGTGAATGGTTGGCTAATTAGTTGTACTCATTTGGTGGCAGCGATGCCGGCGATGTCGACAGCATTTATCCATCGTTTTGCGAATGGTGGCAAATGAAGTGATAATCGCTTTAGCTCTTTCGGACTACCCTGTCCCGGTGTGGTAGGTCGTCGCTAACGAGCAAATGAATTTTTAATGATTTTCTTACAACAACAGCAAGCCATTTCCAAATGTGGAAGGAATCCTTTAAAAAGCGTTTATTTTAATCCGTTTATGTTTCGTTTTATTTCCTAACCAACCAAAAAACAGTGCCATGTAACAATAGAGAAATACTTATAAAATCTGCAACTGGTCCACCAGCCCCGTCCCTTCTTCACATCATACATACAACTAATTTTGTTTATAGTTTTATTTTCACACATTTTCTTTTATTTGTGCTCACAACACAACGACAACAACAAGACTTTTTTATGTGTCCCCATTAAGTGTTCTCATTCGTTTTGTTTTACACTTCTTCTCTTTTGTTTTTGTTTTTGCAGAAGCCGACTACACGCTGGACGATTCATTTTGGAATGAAGAAAGTCCTGTTGGTAAGTACAATTACGAATTACGTACGTTTTGTTATGATTCAGATTACGACAATAACGACAACTTGGTCATTTACAAATATGGCTACTGTATGTTGGTGTGTGAGCCGTGGTACGGCTGTATGTGTGACACAAAGGACAAACTATAATAATGTTGTATGATTGCTGGAGTTTTATTCTATGAACGTGGCAAACATTTGTGACTAATCGTTGTAATTATTCCAAAAAAAAAAGATTGGAGTAAGAAGCTGACACACACATATATACCTATACATATACACACATATACATACGTAATTAGCATACTTATGTGAGACCATTAATGACACATTTTAATTCTGTGAGAAAAGCCACTTAGCAGCTAATTCAAGAATAATCAATTAATACGCCATTACGAATGAAGTCATTAAAAGTAAAACAATGAAATTATTTTGTTATAGAATGGTATCGGAAGGAACAATTCCGATGTGTTTGGATCAAAATAAGAAACCATTTCTGTTTCGAGTGTGAAATGTGAGGTATTTTGGCATTTATAAGGAACTCAGTACCTTATACAGTTGTTTACGATATGGTGCAACTCAAAAAAAGGCTTTACATGGAAAATCCAGCAGGTTATTCAAGTAGAGCCAAATATAAAATTAATTCAATTAATTTAAAAATTGGGGCAAGTTTCCCACTTTTTGTAAATGTTCGGAATCCTTGCATTTTATATAAGTAGTTTCTTCGGAAATACTACAAATTCAAATTGACGAAAGTCTAACCCCTCAAACCACCAAGGCTGTTTTGGTCATTTTTAAATAAAGTTGAAAACTCGTTTTATATCGAATCAAAGCATTTCAAAAAATTATTTGTTATAAAAATCGGGTATAGGTAACAGAAGACACAAAAGGTCTAAATCTTACCTAAACGCCAGGAATACATAAATATTAAAAAATGGAATTTTAGACCCTAAAGCCGAACTTTTTGCAAAATTGTTCTACAAATCATGATTTTAGAAAGATGACATCACAGACAAAAATAATGGTGTCAAAGGATGACATATTCCAGATAAAAACAGTAAAGAAGGTCTTAAAGTAGGGTGGGGCCGACTTTCTGATACCCTACACCATTTTACTTATTTAGTAGAGCTTCACATAAAAAATAAAAGTTTTTATTGGTAATTTGTCAGAAATAAATCATACCAACTATGATTATAGTTATAATTTAATGTCCAAAGGAATACATTTGCCGAGGCATATGTGTCTTTTAAATTCGGGCTTGTATTACCCATTTGGTGCACAATTAATTTGAAATCCGATAAAGATATATATGGGAGCTATATCCAAATCGGAGCCGATCTCGATAAAATTTGGCAAAGATATTTCTGAGCTGTATTTGATATATTTCCCTGAATATCGTTGTTGCGGAGTGCATATTACGACTGTTGGTAACAAATATAACAAATCGGATGAACAGTATATATGGGAGCTATAGCTATATCTGAACCGATCTAGCTTCTAGACTCAATTCGGTCGTAAATGCCAAATTCCATCCCATTTGGACAAATATTAGACGTTTGGTGCACAATAAAAGGTAAATCGGACGAAGTTTTATATGGGAGCTATATCCAAATCTGAACCGATCTCGATAAAATTTAGCAAAGGTATTTCTGAGCTGCATTTGATATATTTCCCCAAATATTGTTGTTACAGAGTGCATATTACGGCTGCAGCGGACAAAAATAACAAATCGGATGAACAATAAATATGGGAGCTATAGCTATCTCTGAACTGATTTCGATCGAATTTGGCATACTTATTTTTAGACCTAATTTGATCGTATGTGCAAAATTCCATACTATTTGGGCTGTTATTAGACGTTTGGTGCACAATAAAAAGCGAATCGGACGAAGTTATATATGGGAGCTATATCTAAATATGGACCAATTAACTCCAATTTCAATAGGGTTCCTCCTTTTGTCAAACGAATGATTTGTGCAAAAATTCATTTCGATTAGACAATAAATGCGACCTGTATTTTGTTTACAAAAATACATGGCAAGCGGAGGGTCAGACGGACGGACAGATAGAAGGACATACGGACGGGCGGACAGACATGTATGAATCGACTCAGAATGTGATTTTATAGAGATCATCAAAAGGAACTAGGGCCTATCTCGTTTCCTTTTGCCTGTTTCAAACAAATGCACAACCCTGACCCCCTTGTGGTGGTACCGTAAAATTATATTACCGTTTAAATATAACACATTTTATAATTTTTTCAAATTCGCTGCAAATATTTTCCTAATTTCTCTGTTCAAAAGCCAGACAGGGCTGCGGATAATCCTAATTTAGTTTTAAAGATAGGTGTCCCAAAGAAGTATCGGGTTCTTGGGACAACCTTTTTAAGGCCCTTATGTAGCATTGACAATCTACAAAGGACACCAATATATTGAGACCTATTACGTATCATCAAATATTCAGATTTGACAGTTTATAGATAGCTTTGGATTACTTTATAAAAAATGGTCCCCAGTAAAGGGTCCCTAGTTCCTAGATAAGGGTGAACCCAATTTAGGTTTTCTATGGTTTTGTAAGGTTTTTCATTTAGTTTTTCCAAAATTTAGTATTTTGTGTTCTCATATCGAAGCGGAAAAAATATCAATGTCGGTCCATATATTTGCACAGCACCTTTATGAAGAGCCCCCTGATAAAAAATCCTCCAAAATAATCCTCGAATTTTTATCTGCAATATAGGTGAAGACACTATACAGCTAAAATGCAAATGTGTTTTGTTCCCTGTGAAACCATTTATAATATTTTATTGCATTTGTATAATAAGTGAATTGTTCTTATGGAGAAGATAACAAGTCAATTTGTCCAGCATCAACATCAGCAATTCATTATCGCAATCCCTAATGCCTCAAAATACCTTTGGGGCCAATTATCAAGTTCTTCTTCTTTATTCCCTCTAAATTTCCCAATCTCCATTTCAATGGAAAATTGCACTTATATTAAATATATTTCTTCCAATTTAATTCTCTAAGTAATTTTCAAAACTAGAATTTAATAAATTCATAATTTTAATTATCAATCCAAATGCATTAATTTGTAGAAAATCTTAATTTTGAATATGAAACGGTAAAATTTCCATTATACATTTTTAATAAACTCTTTTATTTGCTCTTAATTATATTTGTGTTGCATTGAATTATTGAAAGCATTTACCTGTTGTGCTTGGCAGCATTGCCTGGGAAATCAAAGCCATTGGTCAATGTCTTTGAAAAGCCACAAAATATTTCATTGGAATTTCCTGTAATTGAATTGAAAATATAAAATCACTTTTAATGCTGCATAAACACCCACATACATGGGCGTACACACACACACACAAGTGCATGTGCCACACACACCCACACATTCATAAACACAGGTCCAGAACCATACAATTTGATAAATGTTCAGATGTTCTCATTTAATAACCAATCATTTTACAATTTACACAAAAGAAGATTTTCCCAGCTACATGTACATGTGTTATACACAAAGGCAAGCCGACCGACCGACCAAATGGTTTCTGCTTTTGTAATAAATTAACCCAAGTTCAACCCACAACACATTCACACACAATTCTAGGATTTTCGCCAAGGAGATTTGAAAATTGCATAGAATGTCGTAGACCTTGAATGGCAGATTATAAAGTCAATGGCAAAGATAAAATCGACCAAATCTTTTTGCAGGTGTCACAAAGATCTTTCCACACATCGGTGGTGGGAAATTATCTCTATGCATGGCATTCATCATTTGGGTTGAGTAATGCCAGTGTTGCCATTTGAGATTTAGGTTAAACCGAAAAGCGGAAAGAGAAAGTCAAAAAGGCAGGATAATAAAATAATCTCTTTCTCCTATGGTATAAAACTATTTGTGATACAATTGCACTGTGAATATTTAATGTTTATTGTACATTGTTAGTACGATAACAAGCAAAAAAGCAGCTAAGTTCCGTCGGGCCGAACTTTTACTACCCTCCACCATTTTTAAGGAACTTTGAAAAATTCCAAACAATTATGTCCAAAAAATACAGCTCAAATAAATATTGCTATGTGGGGGCTATGTGCTTCTGCATAAATACTTGTTTGTCATCGGCTGTAAGAATCATAAATACCAAATTTGAAACAATTCCGGTAAAAATGTCGATAAACTCATCCAAATAACGAATATTGGGCCTTGTATAGTCACTTCTCTTCCAGGAGGTAAAGTACTCAGAAGGAACTCGTTGTGTGGATTTTCAGACATTTTTAATTAAAAATTTGATAAAAATCATCAAAATACCGAATATCGAGAGGTTCCGTTATATGGAAGCTATACGATATCGTGACCTGCCTGCAGACAAAAGACTGATCTGTGCAAAAATTGTAGGTTAATTTCTTTTGAATCTAACGTGATTACAACAGACGGACGAATTATTAAAATGATTATTTCGATGAGTTACAAACGGAATGACGAACTTAATATACCGCCCGCCATACTATGTATTCTAATTAAAAAAACTAATGTTTGATCCCAAGATTTATTTCTTGAATTACGATCTAGACAGTTACTACGACCAATGAACGTATTATTAATTTAATTTTTTTTTTTTTTTTGCAGATATTTTTTTAAACGGGGATAATTTTATAGATGTGACTAAAAATCTATTTGGAATCCCGACAATTTTTAATAACTTATATAGTTTTAGAAATTTGACTTCCATAAAACCGGCTAAAGCTCTTAAAATTAAATAAGGATGTGCGATAATAAGATTGTAATTTAACTTGAAAATCGACCGTAAATTCAAATATCTGTACAAATTCATAACTGAGACATATCTACTTACCTTCCTTGTCCAAAAAAACCAAATCAACTTCACTTCAAACAAAAGGTCTGACATACCAATGTCTTTAATAAATGCCCGAGAACCACAAATAAATCTGTCTAAAAACCCAACATTTTTTTTGTTTGCTTTTATTGCATGGTTCCTTCACC